TTTTTTTTTTTTTTTTTGAGACAGAGTCTCAAGCTGTCACCCTGGGTAGAATGCTATGGCGTCATAGCTCACAGCAACCAACAACTCAGGCTCAAGGGATCCTCTTGCCTCAGTTTTTTCTATTTTTAGTAAAGATGGGGTCTCGCTTTTGCTCAGGTTGGTCTTGAACTCATGAGCTTAAGCAATCCAACCACCTCAGCCTCCCAGAGTGCTAGGATTACCAGTGTGAGCCACCACACCTGGCCATGACACAAAGTCTTGTTCTGTCACCCAGGCTGGAACTCCTGGGCTCAAGTGATTCTCCAGCCTCAGTCTTTTTAAGTACACTCCACCATGCCCAGCTAATTTTTAATTTTTTTGTTGAGACAAGGTCTTATTATGCTGCCCAAGCTGGTCTCAAACTCTTAGGCTTAAGTAATTCTATCATCTTAGCTCCCCAGAGCATTGGTATTACAGGCATGAGCCACCATATCTAGCCCTCTCTCCTTTTATTTATTTATTTATTTATTTAAAAAATTTTTTTTTGGAGACAGAGTCTTATTCTGTTGTCCTGGGTAGAGTGTTGTGGCACATAGCTCATAGCAACTTCAGACTCTTGGGTTCAAGTGATCCTCTTGCCTTAGCCTCCTGAATAGCTGGGACTACAGGTACCCACCACACATCTAGCTCGTTTTTCTATTTTTAGTAGAGATAGGTCTTGCTCTTGCTCAGGCTAGTCTTGAACTCCTGAGCTTAGGCAATCTATCACCCCACCTCCCAGAGTGCTAGGATTATGAATGTGGGCCACCTATGTCTGGCCTCCTCTTTCCTTTTAGAATTTTTTTTTTAATAGAAAAGCCAGTTATGTGATCCAAAATTCAAAGGCTATACTGAGAAGTTTCCTTTCCATCCTGTCCCTGAATTGCACAGTTTCCCCTCCTTGAAATAGCTACTGCTATCGCTTTGAGAAAGTTTAAGAGCATCAGTCCATCAGTGAATTCTTCCCTAGTGCAGCCCACCTTGGCCAGTGCTGTACAGGGCAGATGCTTAGACTAATAGCAAGTAATGTGAGGAGATTGAAAAAAACATCAAAGAAATAGTGTGATTAGTTTAGCTAAGTGAGAAAATGTCACACTTCTATCAATTCTCCTTTGCATTGCAGAAGATCCAAGAAAGATACATCTATTCAAAGAAAAAGGTCTTACCCAAACATTTTCTGAAAGTTATATAATTTGAACTCGAGGTACTTTCACCTCCCAATAGTAAAATCTTAATATCTAAATACCTAAGATAAATTAACTTTGCCTATGTATATTATGATATGAAGCAGATTTTTTTATTTAGTAGCTAGCACATTTCATCAATGGCACATTAAATATATCACCTTACTTTTTAGTTCACGGTAAAATTCCTAAAATACTTGAAGTTCTAGTTACTCCCAAGGATTCTCTTTAGTTTGCCCTTTTCTATTTAAGTAGTCTACCTCCAATGGCATTTCCTAAACTTTTTCATACCTGACCTTACTTCCATCACATTTTTAATTGATGAGCATCTTTCTAACTTCAGATCTAAAGACGATCTGAATGATTTTGTAATTAATGAGAAATGTTTCCTGTTCCTTTTAAAGCCCAAATATAAAGTGGTAATTTTTAGAAATATGATCTAAATCTAAATTGTTAATATATACTATATGCTGAGCCTGTCATAGGCAATGTGGGACACAGAAGGGCTATAGGAAGTATGGCCCCTGTCTTCAGAGAACTTCTAAGTTAGGGGGTTGAATAAGATATCAGGCATTACAACAGAGAATAAATAGAGAAAAAATCATGTGAGGAGTAAGCACTAATTATAATAAATAGATCAGAGATTCTATTAGAAGAGGAAAACCCAGACTACTCTCTGAGTCAGAGGTCCAAATGGGAGTAAAGTATCAGTTTGTATTTAATATTCCCTTATTAATATAAAGTGTCAGTTGTGTATTTAATATTCCCTTGTTCTATGATGACATTAAAATTATAGTATATGAAGAGTTTAGGACATTATAACTGTTGCCCTGGGTAAAATGCTGTGGCATCACAGCTCATAGTAACCTCCAACTCCTGGACTTAAGTGATTCTCTTGCCTCAGCCTCCCAATTAGGTGGGACTACAGGTGCCTGCCACAATGCTCAGATATTTTTTGGTTGTAGTTGTCATTGTTGTTTAGCAGGCCTGGCTGGATTCAAACCCACCAGTTCTGGTGTATGTGGCTGGCACCTTAGCCACTTGAGCTATAGGTACCGAGCCACATCAATTATTTTTTATTATTAGACTTTTCATCTATGACACTTATAAGTATACCATCTACCCAGTTGATACCTGATGCTGTAATTCAGTAAATTTTGCTAAGCTGCATATCTCTGTTATACAACATTACTATGTAGCCATTCTCCTGCTAATAAAATTTCCTAATAAAAATGACTTAAAAGGCTTGATGCCCATAGCACAGTGGATACAGCACCTGCCACATACACCGAAGCTGACAGGTTCAAACCCAGCCTGGGCCAGCTAAAAACAACAATGACAACTGCAAAGAAAAATGGCTGGGCATTTTGGAGAGCACCTGTAGTCCCAGGTACTTGGGAGGCTAAGGCAAGAGAATTGCTTAAGCCCAAGAGTTGGAGGTTGCTGTGAGCTGTGACACCATGGCCCTCTACCAAGGGTGACTCTTTCTCAAGAACAAAAAACAAAAAACTACATTCACTCAAAATGCTTACTTTTCAATAAATCCATCCCTGGTAAAATACTCATGATTCAAAAGATCAGTAGATGATATCCTCTCAGCAGGATCAATTTGTAAACAAGCCTAGAAAAGGAAAAATATTTTAATGACAAGCGAGTTCTTAACAGGGGTCCCTATAGTAAAAATTAAATTTATTTGACAAATAAAAAAGGAATTAATTATCCAGAGCTAAAAGGATGCTTGAAAAACTGGCCAAACTAGAATTTTAACTCAGGTTGTCTGACTCTGAATCCAGTGTTCTTTCTGTGCATAATACAATTTTATAAACATTGAAGTCCCCAAATCTTTCAATATTCCATTATTAGACTATTTCTTTTCTTCTTCTCTTCCTTGAGAGTATTTTAACTGAGTAAAGAAACAACCACAAAACCACAAAAACGAAAAACAAAAATAAATAATAGGAAGAAGTTTTGGTATTAAGTTGTGCTTAATGAAATGACTATAATAATAAATAGAACACATTTCTTTAATCAAAGATAGAATTTATAAAAGCATCTGCTTCACAATTTTTCATTCTTCTCTGAAAGAAGGTATAAACATAATAATAATAGGTGATTTTTATGCTTACAAAAGAAAATGGTTTAGCCTTTTCCTATCACTTCATAACAACTATAACCTTACAAAATAGGTGTGTGTATATATATATTTTTTAGTGACAGAGCTTCACTTTGTCGCCCTCAGTAAAGGATGCCTGCCACAATGCCTGGCTATTTTTCTTTTTTAGAGACAGAGTTTCATTTTCTTGCCCTCAGTAGAGTGCTGTAGCATCACAGCTCACAGCAACTTCCAGCTCTTGGGCTTAGGTCATTCTCTTGCCTCAGCTTCCCGAGTAGCTGGGATGACAGGTGCCTGACACAATGCCTGGCTACTTTTTTTGTTGCAGTTTGGCCAGGGCTGGGTTTGAACCCACCACCCTCAGTGTATGAGGCTGGTGCCCTACCCACTGAGCCACAGGCACCGCCCAATGCCCAGCTATTTTTTATTGCATTTGTCACTGCTATTTTAGCTGGCCAGGGGACAGTTTCGAACCTGCCACCCTTGGTATATGTGACTGCGCCCTACCCACAGGCACCGCCCAAGGTGTATTATTTTTATTCTCATTGTACAGATAAAGAGACTGAGGGCCAGAAAGACTAAGTAATTTGTCTAAGATCTCATATCTAGAAAAGTTAGAATTAAAATCCAGAAAATTCCAGATCATTGTATACAATATTATGCTTCTGTTTATTTCAAAATGCATACTTTTAAAAATTATTTATTTATTTATTTCCTTACTTATGTACTCACTCATTTTGAGTGAGAATCTCACTCTGTCCCCCTGGGTAGACTGCCCTGGCATCAGCCTAGTTCATAGCACCTCAAACTCTTAGGCTCAAGCAATCCCCTTGCCTCAGTCTCTCCAGTAGCTGGGACTATAGGACCTCACCTTGGCTATTTTTTTTATATTTAGTAGAGATGGGGTCTCACTCTTGCTCAGGCTAGTCTTGAGCTCCTGCGCTAACGGATCCCACCAGGGTGCTGGGATTACAGGTATGAGCC